CAAAATTACACCAGTGTATTTGGAGTGCAATCGTGGCGTACGCTATAAAACCCGATCCCTTTGGGTAATGGGAGCGGCACCAATGCACACTTGCCAGAGAATTCTGAAGGCCGACGCGTAGATTGTGGCGTGGCTCGTAAGTGCCTCCCGGATGAGATTCTAGCAATCTTTTTTGAGTAGGCGTGCGTTTTCTGTGTTTTAAAAAATATAAAATAAAAATAAATAAATAGTGTAATGTTGTGTACAGATGAGGCAAGGGCTTTTGTCGTGCCGACAATGTCGTTCCCTCCGTTTATCCTCACCCATCCTTCTAGAAGCCCGCACGGCGAAGCTAGTCATAAAAGCGGTTTAAAGTTACCGTCGGCAGCATGGGACTTGTGCGACCATTTTGGTTGGACCACACCTCGGGTACACCCAAAATATTATTTTGCTTATTTCGTTCACTGGTTGTCCAGCTATTATTTTTTATTTGTGTATAGCGTTAATAAATTCACTTGGTGTTGTTTTTCTCTCCTCGTGATTTTGTTAGTATTCGTAGTCAGCGACCCACGCCGTCTTCACTAAGCTAGCCGGTCGCTTTGTTAGTTTTTGTCATCTCCCTTTTGAGCGGTAGATTGTTGTGGGTGGTTGTTGGTATACCAACAGCCATTGTAGGTAAACGTATGTATTGTAATAGCAAAAAGATGTTTTTTATTTTAAATTATTTTTTTATAAAATTTCAGTTTATTTAATATTTAACATTTTCCTTGTCTTAATGTTATATTTTTAGATTGTTGCAAATGACCATCTCTGTTTCCGTACGACATAATGGTAGGAATTATATTTTGATTTGTGAATTTCATTATACAATTTTTAATCAATTGTTAATTAACAGTATTTAAGATTATATGTTAGAGTTTTTTTGTTGTGTTTTATAATTTTCAAATTTATAATTTATAATAGGTTATATTAAAACCGAGTTACATTTGTAGAGTTTTTAGAATGGATTGGAGCATATAAAAATATATAGTTGATGGCTGGTGACCACGCCTCGATGGTTAATTTCAGATTGAATTCAAATTAAAGTTTTTAAAATCATTGAGCTAACGGAGCATATAGACGTTTTGCCAACCTTGCAGCTGCAGATACTTTCAGCGCATTAAGTAGTGCAATTATCCTCAATAGTTTTGAACACCTGTAAAGAAATTGTGTCATCAAAGGATGGTGTTTTGACGATTGATCTAATATTTGAATGAAGTGCTTCAATCTCAATGACTTTGTCTTCGATCTTATCTTGCCGTTTTTTGATTTTCTCCTGTTCTTCTTTCTTTCGGCACTTTCATTAACCAAATTCTCCTTTGGCTTTATGAAATTTTGGGAGCTTGCGCCTTCTGGTCTTGCAGCTCTGATGATGTAATGGCATTTATTTGTGACAATGCAGCCAATAGTGGGTTCATGTTCATACCAATAAATGAGCTAGTAGCACTTTTTTTAACTTTCGTTGATGGCTGCTGCAAATCCTTTGCAGAATCAACAGCCTTCTGCTTCTCCGCATGCTTTGGATCAAGCCAATACTTTCCGCTTCCACAGCTACTCGCAGCCGTTTTTGTTGCTCCGCCTTATCTGTTTGATAGTTCCTTTTTAAGCGGTTGTATCTTCAAATCATGAATATTGACCATTTCTTAATGCTTATCCTTCCGGATTTATTTAATTATTCCTCTACAGGCAAATTGTAACAACATAACTAACTATAATTCTCAGCGCACTTCCCTAGAATAGGCACGCTACTCAGAGGCGAAAACTGTTTCGTTTTAACCAACCTTAATGCGCATCATGATCTTTGACATTCTAGTCTGCCAAGTGACGACGGTAGTGGAATGGAGCTGGCGGAACATAGGCGTTTCGACCTTATGCCCCAAAGAGGTGTGGGTAACTCATTGCCTGGCGATCTTTACTGACACTAGCATCGGACCACTTACTCATACAAATCTCGATTGACAGACCTTCTGGCTTTGTCAAAAGCTTTTGACACCGCCATCCATTCAGTGCTGCTATTGGACATTGGAATCCGCATCTGGACTCAAGAAAAGACTCAAGATCTGGGCAGCGGGGACTAACCAGCAACTGCATCTCGAATTTATTGGCTTCCCCAAACACCGCCCTTAGGACCGCGACAGGAAACATTCTGATGTCTGGGCACAAATAATAATGTATGAAGCGATTCAGGGAGCATAATGATTTGCTGGGCAAGGAATTCATATTGGAATACTACCGCCGAGAACAACACAATAGGCTTCTTAAAGAGGCGGATCCTCCACCCAAGCACTTCAGCAAGGGAGTACTAGAATTTAATGATACTATCCAGCAATACGTTCAGCAACCTCTGGACAGGACGGCGTACAGTCTGGTACTGAACGCCATTCACCAGGAATCAGAAAAAACCTTAAAATACTCCTTTCCGTTGGATGGTGTACTCGACCCCAACGTACCTATCGTATATCCTACACGTAATGAGCTCCCGCACGACACTAACCACCTCTTTACATGTCATCTAAAACCGACGCTTCTAACCCCCGTCTCCTTCTCGGCCGATCCCGACGAAACAGCTTGCTTCTTAGGCCTCCCGCTAGATGACCTCGGGGACTAAGGCTATCTAGCCTGTCCCAAACGAGGATAGTGATTCTCGCAAAAGAGTTACGCGATACAACTATAAAAATATAAAAAATATATCAATATATGTTCTAATAACTTCAAAATATACGTCACTTAGTTAGCCATTTGTCGAGCATTTTACTACAACAGCTATTTTAGCGATAGTGGAATATAGTTAAAACCGTTAAAATTGGCGTGTGTGTAGCGTTAAAATGTGATTAACATGTATATTATATTGTTATTATTACTATTTATACTATTATACTATTGTTTATTATATAAGTAGTACAATATAATTGCTTTTGATAATGAATTTGCAGAGCGATAACAATGGTAATAAGAGCCGTATTGCGAAAGACGTAAATTTTTTTAATTCAATTACGACCCAATTTTAGGGATTTGACTTGATACACACTTGACCTGAAATACAGAAAAATGACGTTGCACACCTTTTTAGGAATTTCTTTATTGGATTTTAAAATATTGTACAGACACATAAAGTATTTTGTTAGGTTACATCAGGATATAACATACTTGTTTTCTTGTAGGGAAGATTAATAGAAAAATTTATTATTTGTATAGGTCCGAGTAGTAAGCAATTTTTATAAAGTTTTTTAATATCGTCAACTTCACGAAATTTAACGAAACAAAATTTAGCGCCGTAAATTTATAGCATAATATCTACCAAAAACAATGGAATCATTTTCTAGTTGCATTTCTATTTTAATTGTGAATATTTACTGTATGAATCGGTCTTAGTGCAGTTACTATGTACAGTGGCTCACAGCCAAAGTGATGCAGCTGTGTAAGAAATAGTATAATAAGTTTTAAATAAATTTTCCTAACAACATGAATGCCAGTTAATAGCGGCAGATATAAATATTTCATTTATGCTTTAAAATTTTTGTATTTTATTTTTATTTTATGTAATTTGCAACAGAAACAAACTTCACTATTAAATTGTTCGTCACAGTGAAAATTATGCACAAAAATTTACCGCTAGTGGCGGCGTCTTGTCGACGATTTTTGAATGCAAAATAAACATCGCTATAATCGCGAGCAAACTTGGTGTAATATGAGATAATTTCGACACTATAGTATTGACATTGGTTGTGTGTATATCAACACAGGTCGCCAAACAAGTATTGAAGTAATTAATCCTAAAACATTATAAAGAAAGTAAAAGTCAGTGCATAATCGCGGAAGTGGTGATATTGAGCCAAGGAACTGCTCAGCATATCATTGAACGCAATCTTCATGAATTTCGTGTGTTAAATAAAATTAAAATGGTTCATAATAAGATATTTATCGAAAGTGATTCCCGATGGATTATAAGGAAAATACGCGAAAACCCTCATATAAGTGCTCCAGCTTTAGGTAAAGAAGTGCTAAAATATCTTAGGAAAAACTGTTACCTAGAAACCATACGAAGAATCCTGATTTTAAAGGCCGCACAGCTCGAAATAAAATGTTTAAAGTCAAAGTGCTGAAGTTTGTAAAGAAGCATTTATATAAAGGTGAAAGTTTCTCGGACACCGTAATTTTTGCGGACGAAAATGAAATCAACCTGTTAAGATCAGATGGAAAGCGGAAAGAGCTATGTATGCAGAAAACCAAATGCTGCGTTGCAACCACAAAATTTACGTAGCACTGTAAACCATGGTGGAGGGCATGTAATGGTATGCGGATGCATGTCGTCTTCTGGAGATGGAAATTTAGATTTCATTAATAGTACTATTGATTAAGACTATGTATTTGGACAAGTTTTGGTACTATCAAGATAAAGCTCCGAAACAAAAACCAGGCGTTGTGCAAAGTTGGCTTATTTGGAACTGTCCGCACATAGTGAAAACCCCAGCGCATTCCCTAGATTTGGGTTTGATTGAGAATCTGTGGTCAATTTTGGAACGCAGTATATGGGCATTCTACTAAATATTAATTAAAATAAAATTTTAGTTTTGTTATTTAAAAAAATTGAAATACATGTATTATTCTTTTTTTGTTACTGCATCATTTTCGCTGTGAGGTACAATTTAATAGTAAAGTCTGTTTATGTTATTAATTACATAAAATATAAAATTTTTAAAGCATAAATGAAATGTGTATATCTGCCGCTATTAACTGGCATTTATGTTTTTGGAAAATTTATTCAAGTTTTAGATAAAACTTAATATACTATTTCTTACATTGCTGCATCACTTAGGCTGTGAGCCACTGTATATTGCAAAGGTACATTCAGGCTGTTGTTTGGAAACCGCACATATGTACGAGTTCAATTGAAACAGATCCATATCTTTAGCTCGATTCCACCCCAACACAGCCCGTCCTTACTAGTTTGTAATTCAACTTTAATTTTTTGTTTTAATAAGGATTTAGAAACTTTCGACCTGGAAGACTTTAAATACAATGGAGTAAATATAACTGCCTTTCGATTAGTTGATGTAAAAAGTCAACGATATGAAGAAGTTATCGAGCAAATGATGAAATTACCTCATAGCGGCTTGGAGTATATAAATGGGCAGCCATATATACAGGTATGTAAATTGTATCCAAATAAAATTGTCAGCTCAGGCTGTGTACCAATCGGTAGAAAATTTGAAATTTCGACAGCCAACAATGAAGTTTTGACATTTTGCCTGGTGAGTACAAACGTCAGAATTTTATGTAGCTAGGTAAAAATTTTGATTGTTTATGAATGCATGTATAACGTAATAATATAAATAACAAATGACAACTTTGCTCTTTTTTTATTGATTTCGCAAGAAATCGATGGCGAAGAGGTAAAAATTCTTGAAATGAAAAAGAAACACGAAAATAACGAAATACTATATTTTTTATTAGGAGCATTAATAGACAAAATTTGGACAGTCTTAACTCTTTAATAGAAAAGTCATCTCTCTTTCCTGCTTATTTTTCCATATTTTTTTATATTTTTTTTTATTTATTGTAAATATAATCCTTATATTATTCATCATAAGTAATCTACATTGTATATATGGTAAAGTTCTTCCAGCATATCGCTTAACTCTAATTGGGTGCATTGGTATTTACTCATGGCTATTAAAACCCACAATATATACATATTCGAGTGATTGTGTGGCCCATTTATCTGCGGTAACGCTCATTGCAAACTTCAAACCTGCACAACTCGAGATCTGTGATTTAAACGCTACCTGTAATAAAAAAAAAAAAAAATAAAAAATTACTATTCAAATAAAACAATCACTGTATATTAGAATTACCTTTATAGCATTCAATGAGTAAGTGCACCAAGCCGCTTGCCATTTGTAACTTTAATGAGTGAGACCATAGAATGCCATCAGCCTCATCATAACGATTCAAAAGCTCCAAATGATTTTCTGTGCTATTAAAATGTTAATGTTGTATTTTTATATCTATTTAATATACCAAATAATGCTCTGTTTCGTTGGGCACATGGAGCGAGTTATTTGAAAACGAACCAATTACGGTAATTAAAACTGTTTAAGAAAATTTATCGCATGTGCATCGAAGCTAATTTTTGTTGAATGCTTGTGCGCAACTCCAACAAATGTGGCTATCAGCTGATCACTGTATTTCTGAATTACAATTGATACTATGGTCACAAAAAAGTATCTATCAAATTTGTGAATTAGTGACTGTATCAAATTACTGGATGCCGCTGTAAGTCAAAATTTACAGTTTCATAAAATTTTTCCCACCTGATCTTCACCATAGGAAGAAAGGTACCGATTGGCACTCATCCTTACAACGTTTTAATTTTAACGAAATAGTTCATTTAAAATCTTAATTTTCTACTATCAAATTATTTAAACAGAAGAGTCTCGTAAATTACCTTTAATATGCTTAAAAAAAGTGTATATTTAACTAATTGATATTGTCCGAAAAGCGTAAAAAATAGTTTTCTTCTGGAGCTTATAATCTATTTAATAATAACAATTCAAGGATCAAACATACGACTTTTATACATTTCTTTTCAGACGCAATCAGCTTTAATGTTCGATTCCGTTTACACTTTCGCCGCTGGTTTGACGGAGTTGGATAGAAGCCATTTATTAAGGTTTCATAACATATCGTGTTCCAACGACATGTCATGGAATGACGGTCTGTCCTTGTATAATTACATAAATTCGGTAAGTATCCTTGTTTTTATCTTTTATGCTCTTTTACTTACATTTATCTTTACAAGTAGGTTTCTATACATGGATTAACCGGACACGTGAGTTTTGTTGAGGGTTATAGAAATAGATTTCAAATTGATTTGCTTAAACTTAAGCATAAAAAAATTGAAAAAGTAGGCATTTGGAAACCAGATGTTGGAGTGAATATCACTGATCCTACTGCTTTCTATGAAATTCATACTAGCAACACAACTTTGATAGTTATGACACGAGAAGAGAAGCCATATGTAATGGTAAGAAATGAAGGCAATCAAATAGGCAATAGCCGTTTTGAAGGATTTTGTATTGATTTGCTGGAAGCTATCGCCACACAAGTGGGATTTCATTATAAAATAGAACTAGTGCCTGATAATATGTATGGAGTATATAACCCTGATTCAAATTCTTGGAATGGTATTGTTCGAGAACTAATGGAAAGGGTAAGTTCGTAGATATTTATTTATGTCTGGTATATCGTTTTTTAGCTTATTCTGAAATGGTAAACCAAGCTTACAGGTATGACCAGATAATATTTTACATCGTCGTTTGGCATGCGATACCGCGTATACTCAAAATGTAAATAAAAATTCACCGAAAGAACTCGTACAAAGCCTTGGAAACGAAGTTTGTTTCTTTAAAGATTCGCGGTATTGCATTATTCTCTGAAGTTCTTTTATGTTTTATACGCTTTGTTGGAAAAAATTATTTCCATGTAATATAGTTAATTCGAAGATTTTTATGACCTCAAAACTATCTATGGAGCTATCCCCTCCGATTGAGACTCTGGTTGAAAATTTATCATCCAACAAAAACATTAATAAATGAAACTTCCATTAAGTATGTTATTGTTATACTGGTAGATGCTCGGTTAAAATACGATTTTAATCTTTTGAATCAAGCATTGTCGGGTTTACAATTTGAATTTTTTCGAGTGTGATTGATAACATTACATTTCAAGTTCTTATATTACCATTCAATTCCTTGCTAGAAAAGTTTCATAAAGGTGCCCTGTTTCTATTTGTTTTTTTTTTTTTTTTTGCGAATTTCGCTGTTCGTAAGCCTTAAAGAATCCACGGTAAAATTTCAGAGGAATGAACTGAATCATTTGATGCTGTAATTGTAGTTTCTAAAGTTCTTTGAAATCTTTCAATCATTCCATTTGACTGTGAATGATAAGGAGAAGTCTGTATTTTTTGAGATCCTAATAATTTTAAAGTAAATTGTGTTCCTTGATGTCCAATTATTAATTTCTTTACGCATATGAGGCCAAAAATATTAACATTGAATGAGACGTCGAGTTGTTCGAAAACTTGGATGTGATATAGAATGAATCTTTTCAAAAATTGTTTTTCTCATTGAATTAGGAACATATGAGCTAAAAGGTGTTTATGTAATAGCACGCCGGCATTAAGATTTATAATAGGTATATTAATTTTTTTCAAATTACTACTAGCATTTGGATCTGAAATAATATATTTAAGTATCTCGACTTTATGTTTTTCTTCATAAAGATATTGAAAATTTATGTCTTTTGTTGAAATTGAATAAATTCCTGGAATACGAGAGAGAGCATCGGCAATTTTATTATCTTTACCGCAAATGTATCCAATATCATAAGTAAACTGTGCAAAATGTCTTAGTTGTCGATTAAGAACATGTGTAAGTAACTTATGATTAGTGTCAATAGTGAAAAGTCTACCCTCGAGAAAATCTTTTAAGTGCTTAATTGGATTTTATATTGCTAAAAGTTCTCTATAGAATGTTGAATAATTAATTTGGAGTTAATTTTCGAGAAAAAGATGCTAATGGTTCTAATGTGTTATTCCTCTTTTGTTGTAAAACAGTTCCAATTGCAACATTTGAAACATCAACTGCCATTGATAATTATATAGATACACAAATTAATCTATATATTATATATGTATTTATATATAAACAAAGAAAAACTTTTATTTTTTAAACAAAATTTATTTATAGTTTCTTAACCGTTTGAAAATGAAGATTATAATAATTCAGAAAATGAAAATATTTGAGATTAAAAAATTCAGTAACATAAAAACTGAAAAATTGAAAAAACAAGTTATAAAGTAGATTCCTACAATGACGTATATCGGATTCAAAAACTTCCTCATATGGGACTGAGGAAATTGATTTATTAGTTGTCTCTCCGACAACTTTCGAGCAAATGGCTAAAACTGATGGGTGTCTTAGAAACAAATGACTGCATTTCCAACCATTAAAGGAATGTAATCCGAATTTGAGTTGTCTGTAGTCTTTCTAGCTGTTGTTGTTTCAAAAAGTAGAGCAAGTAAGTTTCAAGGCCTGGAGAAGAGTACAAAACACGGTGGGTACTGCACTTTATTTTGTGGGTACTGCACTTTTTTTTTCTTAAATTGTCCTTATAGCCCTCCCTCCCCTTTATTAGGACCGCTGATCCCAGGTCGGCTTCTACTAGAACTTCTTCAAACAAAGGCATTAGTTTATTAAAAAGTCTCTTGTTTATTTTCAAAGTGGGTAGGGATATAATTTTGAATAAATCGGGTCCTTCTTCTGTTCGAATTGGGGCGAGGAGCGTAAATCTTTACATAACTTTGGGCGCTAGCTAACTACTTCCTGTTATTTGAGTTTTTGTTTTCTGGCATATATATTTGAATGATTTTGCATTGAAACATATATGCAAGAATACAATTCTCAAATGATCAGCAAAGTAATACGGCTAAAGTGCTCATTATTTGTTATGTAAGTTACCATATTATGTCCTAATCAGATATCTGACTATCTGATCTGTTGTGCGTTATCCCATTCCTGCTTAATTGAGTTGAGCGGCATGCGATTGGCGTCTGCGCAGCGACAGGCGCCGCCTATGGCATTGTGTAAAGACTACGTATTACTGAAACGTGCCACCTTTTCTTGAACATTTTATTTATCTTTTTATAGAGAGACTTGCATGTTTTTAACTTCTGTAATAAAATTTACCTCTTGAAGCTGATTTTCGCCGTCTATATCTGTTACTTCGGACTAAAGAATAGTCTGATATTCTTGTTCCTCTTGGTTTTCAAAACTTTCTGCCTACGAAATATGATTTATTCTTTGTTCCTTTGCTCCAGCTGTACATCTATTTGCTCTCATGGAAGCCTGATTGTTATATGAAAGATAGGTAGTAGTACCATTGCTACATTGCTTGTATTACGTTATTCTGTGTCATTGTGTCATTTGTTTAAAAAATGGGGTTCTTGGTATGCAAATGTTTCTGCTGTGTCTGCTCATTACGGTGAGATTTTTAAAATTATTTGCGAACTAAAAACGCTCGTGATTGGACTCAACCTCTTGATCCAAGGTCAAAGTTGATGGTGGAATTCTTTGTTTCTGAGACGAATGCTCTCAGTGCATCTGCCCATTTTCTTCACTAAGAGAGACAGCTATGGTTGAGTTATATGTCATTATTGTTTTGTTTACTAAGAGCGTTATCTTTTTTTCTATTTCAATTAGTTTCTTAGTTTCCTCGACGAAGAATAGACAGTTCCTGATCTATTAATTAGATTGGCCGCATATCGGCGTAAGTAAAATCAAGTCTGTTAATAATTTCTTTGAAATGTAATTGTGTGTCATACGAACACAGCACCATATCAGCGGGGCCTTTTATTATATTACTAATGATCCCCGTTCGTGTCGATATAGCAACTGTGTATTAGTTTGTTATTCCAATAGAATAACGGAGTGTAATAGAAAATAAAAAGGAAACAAAGTATTAAACGAATTCTGTATATATACGTGTATACACATCACGCCATGTCCAAAGTGAAGGTTGGTGACTCGGCAGTAAATGCAATTAAAAGACATTTACAAGTGTGTAAAAACGATAAAATGACTACAGACAAGAAGCCGTCGAAACCTTTCTTCAAATTTTTGAAGAACAGTGGCTTCGTTTAAGTGCTGCTCAACAAGAAGTAGAGTCCTTGTGCTGCGCGGAAATCGCACCAGTTGAAGGGCAATCTCGCATCTAAGCCGAGGAATAGCAGTGAAACCCAAAAAAAGGGCTAGGGATTCCGGATAGGCTATTAAGCAAGTAATAAACGCTACCAAGCAGCATATTGGTTCGTTGCGCGCTTTGTGTAGACCCATAGAATTTTGAGAAGACTGGCTGGTGCACATCACGGTTTCTAAATTGGCTTAGGAAACCAGAAAGCAATGGGAGCTATCATTAGCAAGAGATGTTTTACCCACAATTGAAGAGCTGGTAGAGTTTTTAGAAACTCGTGCGCGTGGTACCAGCTAGTAGCTCGCTGTCGACGTCAACGCAAGCAGTGCGCCAGTTTAGTAAAGCAGCATTGAAAACAACAACAAACGCTCTTCATGCTAATGGTGATAAACGCATGCTTCAATTCCGTTTCGATGATTCAACAGCCATTTTTTAACATGTTTTCATTGCAAAGGTGACCATAAAATTTATGTTTGCCCATTTTTTCGGAAAATTATTGTTGCTGCCAGATTCACTTTGGTTAAGAAACCCAATGCTTGTCTTAATTGCTTGAGTAAAGATAATTTTCATGACCTCATGATACATGTCGATTTCGTCATCATACCTTACTACATGGCACCTGAGACAACGATCACAACAGCCATCTAATTTGAGTAATGCCATACGCGCACCGTCATTTAACACGAATGCGGATTCATTCCATCCTAGCTGTGGAGCATCTCACGTCACTGAAACAGATAACGCTATTTTGTTGGCTACTGCAGAAATATATTTGCAGGATCACGCAGGCCGATGGCAACCTGCACGAGTTTTGTTCGACACTGGGTCACATGCGTCATTCGTGACAGAGTCCTATATTCAACGTCTACGTCTGCCTAGAAATCCTTAACAGCCTGCGTCACAGGAATTGGTTCATCAGATGGTGGTGGAGTTAAAGGTTAAACAACTCTTTCGCTTGCGCCTCGATCTCTTGATTAGCGCTACACAATCACGTCGCTTGTTTTATCAAAGATCACAAATGATCTCCTTGCGGTGGCACTATGCCAAGCCTGGTCCTATAGACGCGCTAACTGGGATGGACGAAAAGAATAAATTTTTGCTTACTGGGCTTTGTGAAGGACCAACGGGTACTCCCATGGCGCAAAAAACAGTTTCTGGTTGGGTGCTTTTCGGTAAAGCGATGCGCTCTTCCAACTCAAATGCGAATCTTCTGTCTTTACATTTTGATGCTGAACTCATCAAAATGGTGAGTAATTTTTGGGAACTTGAAGAGTTTCCATCCAAGCGCTACGTAACCTAGAGTCGTTTTCAATGCGTCGTTAAAAACTTCAACGGGGTACTCACTCAACGACGCACTCTTGATGAAGTACGTACTCTAGGTACTATTTGGAGCACAATCGACGATTATTTATCAGCTGCAGTGAATTTCTCTCAGACTCCAGTAAATTCTTTGAACCACTT